AAGTTTTGTCAATTTTTTAAAGATTTTATTTATTTTTTTAAAAGTTTTTTTCATCTTTATTTATTTTTGAGAGAAAGAGTGAGAACAGGGGAGAGGCAGAAAGAGAAGGAGACACAGAATCCGATACAGGCTCTCGGCTCTGCATCCTATGTGGCACTCGAACTCACAAACCACAAGATCATGACTCGAGCTAAAGTCAGAGGCTCAACCAACTGAGCCACCCAGGCGCCCCTATTTTTATTTATTTTGAGAGTGAGACAGAGAGCAAGCAGGGCAGGGGCAGAAAGAGACGGAGACAGAATCCCAAGTAGGCTCCACGCTATCAGTGCCAAGCCCAATGAGGGGCTGGAACTTATGAACTATGAGATCATAACCTGAGCCAAAGTCAAGAGTCAGATGCTTAACTGACTGAGCCACCCCAGGTTCTCCAAATTTTATCAAATTTTCAAGAAACACAACTCACATTTCAAATAACAGTAACATTTAAAAGTAAAACTAAAAATGAAATACTGATCTGAACAGAGGTATCTGTTTTTTGACAACTAATTAAAAGGAAAACGTTCAAATTAAACTTTGAAATATATTATTAACCATCAACTGAACCACTGGAAAGATACATGCCAACAGGAAGAATACTGTATTGCCATTAACCATAGGAATGGCTTGAGATATCTTATTCACACTAAGATCTAAATGTATGCAATTAAAGCCACCATATCAACTGTCCATATTAATCACTCACCAATTTAATTAAGGTAAACCATTTTGTCAGAAAGCTTGCCTCTTCTCTATTTCTTAACATTATTGACTTTTAATAGTTCACTGAATTAGTAATTACTTGCTTATAGCACTATCAAATGTCTTGGATACAGAAGTCCAGCATGTGGCAAGGTCAGTTATAGACATGTCCTGATGACATATGAAAGGAGAAATTTAACCCATCAAAGTGGTCATTGAAAGAGCAAAACCTATTATGCCTTTCTCTAGACACTCCTGGTTAAATTCAAAGTGACAGGACAAACCAGATCAAACCCAAACAGAGCTAGAAGCAACATACAAAATCCTAATGAACCCTTAGAAATCCAGGAATCGATTTGTCAATATCTAAGCTCAATTAGTCCTTTCAGAACAAAATACCTCATGAAGTGACAAGAAACTAGTTTGAGGTCTGGGATATGAAAAGAATAAAAGCAGTCACTTTATATAGCATATTGCTAAGTGAAGTCATATCTCAACCTGGAGACCTTGTGGAGATTAAATAAAGATGTATGTCAAGTACCTATCTACTAAGCCAACGAACTGGCACATAAACAGTGTTCAGTACACGTTAGCCCTTCCTCAAATCTTTAAGGATGCAGACTTATCAAGTCAAAGATCAACTGATGGTTTGAAAAAGCAAAGAAAAGCAAAAGAAAAACCTTACATGGTGATAGAAACAACATATCTTCTAGAACTCAGCAAACAGGATAATGAAAATGAAAAACAGATAGTGAAAAGGTTTCTCAATGACTCATCCTTTGTGGTCATTTACAACCGTCCTGTTTTCTGAAATTGTCTTTAGGGATGAGCTTTGACAAGAAATAGGCCACATGCAAACTAATTCCACTTGAGAGGGAAACTCTGCAATGCCTACAGCAGGTGAAGTTTCTTTCACGAAATCTTTCCACTGGGTATACTTCAAGCTTTCAGCAATTCCAGTTTCCAAACAAACCAGTAACACAACTATAAAGCTAATTTTTTCATTAGAATTGTTAAGTAACAGGAGTTCAATAAATCATCTGCCTTCTTAGAAGAAAAAAATTACTTTCTAACACAAATAATATTTCTTTTGGTTCTAAGAAAATGATGCTTATTTACAAACCAAAAGGTGTAATACTATAGTGAAGTCTTTTTATGGCTCAAGAATGAAATATTTAAGAAATGAAGGTACGGAAAGAACAGGATTTGGTCTAAGAAGTCTTGAGATCAAGTATTCATGTTGCCATTTACTATACAGCTTCCAGGAAGTTCCTTAACTTCTCAGGGACCTAGTTTCTTGTAAAGTTCTTTCAGCTCAAAAATTATATGATTACTTATGATACCTGATACTCTTCAGTGTCTCTGAGTATGTATACACATGCACATGTCCCTTTATTAAATAATACAGATATATTTTCAAAGTTGTAGTCATTAAAGGCCTATTATGAAACAAAGGAAGAGAGAGAATGAATGAATGTGTGTATATATGCTGGGTATTCTGACCCTGAACATCATTCTCAGTAGTTAGGGCATTTACACAGCCTGAATTAAGCAAGTAAGCCTTTAAACCCTTACAATGAAACATTAAAATTCAATGTGGCTATAATCTCTTCCTTACAAAACACGGACCCAAAGAGCCTGGCTTCAAGTATGGTTTAAAAAAAAAAAAAAAGGCGAAGTGTATTATATTCACCATCCAGCTCGTCCATATGACCACATTAAAAAAAACACAAATGAAAACTCACAGGGCCATTGTAATACATTGTGCCACTTCTGAATGCAACACTTAGCTCAGGCTTACTACCCTGACAAATAAAGGAAAGCACTTTATGAAGCCAATTTAATTGGGAGGTGACAGAAAACATACAGCCATTTTCTTTAGCCTTATCATTGAACTGGCTTCAGCTCCAATCTCGGGCAAATCCCACTCAACAGAAGAAATTAACCAGGTCAGCAGAACAGGTGCTGTGCTGTGTCTGTCAAGGGCCTGGCATCACAATTACTTGCACACAATGAAGCAGTAATCTTTACAGATCATCTCTCCCAAGAAGTATATTGGGGAGGGAGAGGAAAACTGAAGGGAGGCGGGGGGAAAGTGGGAAGAAGAAGAGGAATAGGAGGCAAAGAGAAAAGGCAAGAGAAAATGAATGTGCAGCTGCCTTGTGGCTCAGCAGATGTCGGGATGTGATGTACGAGGCTAGGATAAGCTGTCGGAGCCTGCTGCCAAAGAGTGGTAAGTGATTAAAGCCTGCACAGTTCTAAGCACCATATTTAGAATCTGTGGGGTTTCAGGACTTGCACCCATTCCTTGCTGTGCTGCCAGATGTTGGCAACTGGTCCAGTTTCTACTGACTGTGCATGGATGGCAGCAGTTGGTGCAGCAGCAAAGCAATCTGGAATGCTTCCGGAGATGCTGTACATTAACAAGTGTCACCCATCATTCACCTTTACAGAAGGCTGAAACAACTCCAATTTGCTGCCACTTCCCTCTTGGGAAACGGCCAAGATAAAGTTGCGCCTGGCAGCCCCATTTGTTTCACTCAGGTGTTTCAGCTGCCTTGCTGACCTCTATTAGTTTAAGTTTTAATTTAGATTAACCCCAGCACCCCAATTAACCAGCAAGGGGAAAAGCTAAGATGTGACTACTCATAACTCTGAAATCAGAATTTATCGAAGGTAAAATTATTAATTGGGATGAAGGGCCAATCAAGTAATGCTATTTCTTTTTAAACAGACCTCCAGCCCCCCTCCCCCCCCCGCCCCAAATCTTTCAGACCAAGGACTGCCAGTGGAAGCAACTTCTTTCTCCCCAGTAATTTCAGTTTATTTTATTAAGCCTATTTAATTTATGATGCACTTTCCATCGAACAATGTACACTTCAATTAATGAAGACTGGAGCATTTTTGATTGTCTCCCATGATCTCACACAATTATATAGCATTAATATCCCATATCAGGTACTTCCTTATAGACACTCTAGAACAAAATAGAGTTCCCTACTCTTCTGACAAATGGATATAATAAGAGAAGAAAAGGAAAAAAAATCAAGACCTCTGACTAGGAACACCTGAGGCCACACCAATCCTCTTTCCTACACCCTCTCATCATTACTTTTAAGGCTCACTTACGGCAATAATTTCATTGAACACTCCAGAGTGAATAGAAAGATTATTAGAGTCTCTTTCTCATCTCAGGGCAAAGACTCAGAGGTATCCCCTATATAGAATCACCTGTACTATTGGCCTCACAGTGTAATTTTCCCAAATTCTTTCCTTCATATTCCCAATACATAATACATCATGGCTGAACCTTCAACAAGCAGTTGAAATTCCTTGAGAAAAGTTAACACGCTAGAAATTCAGCAGAGAAAAAAAGAATATCTCCGTAAATAATGGCTCAACAAAAGCTGGTGTATCACTGCATGCTTGATTCCCAGAGCTAAAAAGGTACATCCTAAAGCACATTTCATTAACTATAACTTACCAGGAGAAACAGGATTATAGGAGATTATTTTAGTTCTTTAGAATAGCCCAAATATTTAATCTACCCTAATAGTCACCAGCATCATTAAAAAGAGCAGCATACCAGCAGACAATATCAAGGGAAAGAACTGAGGGACATCTGCAAAGAGGTATCAACAGCTGGGCCATATTTCAACTTCTGCCAATTCTGTCTTCAAAATATCACACTATAATTATAATCAATGGGAGCAGACAATCTCATACATACTTCTCTGATTTGAACAGGCACCACCCCCCCACTCCCTCCATCCCCCGCCATACACATGAACAAAAGACAAGAGACTTAACAGGTAATAGAACCAGAAGTGCAATTCAAGAACTCTGGGATCCCAGCCCTTTAGCTCCATATACCAGTCTAATAGTAATAAGACAAGAAATCAAATAACTAACAAAAAGTTAAGTTATATATATATAAAAGTTAGTTATATCTATTATATTAACATTCTCAAAAATGGCTAAGAATAAACCACCTGACTCGAAGAAGCTGCAGCTGTTTTACAGATAATTTACATTCTGCAGCAACTAACAAAGTAGTTTGTAGTTGTTTTCATTTCAAAAGGAAAAATACAAGACAGAAAAGGAACAACAGATTCAGAACTGCACAGTAAGTCAACTCTAAAGACAGCACCTCTAACTCCCTGACTCTATCCTCCTTCCAAAGTAGGCCAGAGAATTCTATGAGCTGCTTTAAAATGCTAAAACCTGATCTGTAACAAAAGAAAAGCATGTGAAAATCATACCTGGTGGTAAAAATCATCGTCATCAAAGATTTCTTCATCCAAGTCCTTCAGGTGGGCATTGGCAGGGGCTTGAGGAAGGATCTCCTATATCAGGGAGAAAAAAGAAAGGAGTGAATCCAAAGGAGTTGGAGGGGTCGAAGTAATGTAGCTACTAAAAATAATGTGTGTAACAATCAAAGCACTTTTCCTTAAGATATAAAGAGTTCTTGGGTCACCTGGGTGGGTCAGTCGGTTAAGTGACCAACTTTGGTTCAGGTTATGATCTCATGGTTTGTGAGTTTGAGCCCCACATCAGGCTCTGTGCTGACAACTTGGAGCTTGCAGCCTGCTTCGGATTCTGTGTCTCCCTCACTCTCTCTGCCCCTTCCCTGCTTGTACTCTGTCTCTCTCCCAAAATAAACAAAGTTAAAAAAAAATACATGGGACAACAAATCCCTTAAAAAAAAAAGATATAAAGAGCTCTTAAAATTAAAGAACAAAAACATTCCAATAAAAAAGGTAGACAAAAATGTTAATAGGTAGACAGAAAAAGAACTATAAACTGTCAATAATCATATAAAAAGCTTTAACCTCATTCTAATTAAATACATGAAAATTAAAATAAGAAGACACCACATTTTTCACCTCTAAAACAGGCAACAATCAGTATAAGAACACCCAGCTGGTGGAAATGGAAATTAATGCAACCTTTCTGGATGCAATCAGTGATATCAGAATTTAAAATGTGGGGGCACCTGGGTGGCTCAGTCGATTAAGCATACAACTTCAGCTCAGGTCATAATCTTGCGGTTCGTGGGTTCCAGCCCCACACTGGGCTCTGTGCTGACAGTGTGGAGCCTGCTTGGGATTCTCTCTCTGCCCCTCCCCGACTCATGCTTTCTCTCCCTAAATAAACTTAAAAAACTGTGTATTCTTTTTGATTTGACATTTCCAGTTTGAGTACTCTACCCATACGATCACACAAATACACATATTATAAATGCTCATGAATGTTTCTAATAGCACTGTTTCTAAAGCTGGAGACAAGAAAAATACCCACTGTTTAAATAAATTATAGTACACACACAAGAGAGAATACTCAACAGCTATTAGGAAAAATGAGATTGATCTCTATATAATGATTTGGAAAAGCGTCTAGGAAAAATTAAATTTAAAAATTGTTAAGATTTTACATATAGTTTATAATATTTTATATATTTATAAACACATATATCCATTCAATTAAAAATATATAATCGTATTTTTATACAGGTATATGTGCATATATAGTTATGTGAATAGAAAATTCCTAAAAGCTTGTTACCACTGTGAACATAAGTTCAATCTAAGAAGTGGAATTTTACTTTTCATTTTAAATTCTTTTGAATTAAAAAGAAGACCACTAAGTATATATTTCAATAAATAAGAGTTTCCTTTAAACAAAAGAATTTGTTCTAATTTTGGATCCTTTTCTGTAGTATCTGCATGTATCTGTAGTATCTGCATGTCTAATATAAAGCCTAAAGTACACACTTGCTTCAATACTGACATTTCCAAAGAAGCAGCTTTAAAACTGAATTATAAAAACTAGATTATGAATGCTTCCATTACCAGACTCCTATCAAACTCAAAAATAAGAGACTATTAACTTGTTATAGACTTGTTAACACAAGTTAACAATAGCGCCATTTTAAAAGAAATTTATCCTCCCATATACTCTTACTTTTTCAACAATCTAGTAAAGTAGTGCTTTTTCCCTTTCTTTCACTAACTGCTTATACCAAGAATGGTATCTACAAGCAGGTGATCAGATTTTTCAGCTAATTAGCCTCACAGAAACTGCTCGCTGCAATCACCCACCATCACAGAGCTCTTACCGGCTGCCCTGGCAAACTCTCCGGGACAGGCTGTACTGCTGGTTCAGGTTTGCCAAGAACTCGGTAGATGGAGCGCTTGGTCTGTGTCCTTCGAAGTAATCTTTCTTTGTCCATCAGAATATGATCGATCTGAGTCAAGATTGAGCGTTCAAAGGCACCAAAACCCTGCAACAACATTAACCAGTGTCAGATAATGCAGAAAGTCTGTGCTGAAGGCAGCTACATTGGTTTCTCTATCTTTCTGTGTCAGCAGAGAAGCAGACAATCCTCCCTTCAGGAGGGACTTTGTGTTAGAGACCAAGTCTGTGAATGGCTGTAACTGTTCTCAGGGAAAAAAAAATTAGTCTTAAGCAGGCTGTATTACTTTCCTATACCCAGAGATTAACTTCTGCACCTTTCACAACTGTTTAAAAATCTTTAAGTATTTTGTATTCCCAAATATTTGACCACTTACAAGGCCATAATTTATAGAATAAAATATTCTTTCTAAAAAGCTAAAATCCCAGGTCTGAATAATATAAACCCCAATGGTGGGAGTTAAGTAAATTTTTCTACAGTAATGACTGATTACTATTACATCATGACATTATAATGAGCTATATAAATATAAGATAAATGAGCTGTAGTTCCAATTTCTTAAAACTGCTTCAGGTTGCTACAACCTCTTACACACACACACACACACACACACACACACACACACTTACCTTCCCCAGTTTTCCAGAAGCCAGCTTGGTTTTATCATGCCACTTCTGAAGTGTGCGGTTCCTGTAGACTGTGAAGTCGGCAAAACGCTTTGCCATGAAGCTGGGATAGTCCTCCATTTCTAGCTTCCTCTTTGGTGGGGGCTTTCTCTGCTGCTTCTTCTCTTCTACTAGCTCTTCATCTTCACTGGAAATCTCTTCCTCACTGGAAAACCAATAAGAACATTGAGTCCAATGTAAACCAACATTACCCAAATAAATACATAAGCTCACATGAAGTCAAGAATATTTAGGCCTTTCCTATTCTGTCTATATTTGCAATAACATCATAGATGTGAGCATGGCTTTTTCTATTTGAAAAGAATATTCATGAGGTCAATCAAAAACTCATGTTAACTTTTCAAATATAAGAGCTACTAGCTTAGAAATATTTTTCTAAAGGTAAGCAAACCATAAAAATAAATGAAGTTGTAAAAACATTATTAGAAATGCATATGAACCAGGCCTCTACTGTTATAAGATGGACTTTAAAAATTAAACACATAATCATACTTTTATGACCTTAATCCCCAAATCAATAAGGGACATGTGTCTCCCTCTAACCAATTGTTCAGGAAAGCTGAATAACAGTAGTTGAATCACAGGAAGAGAGCCAAATGTGAAGAAAACTCAAAGGAGTAGGCAGGAGAATGGAAAATACATTGAAGTGCATACGCCTGCCAAGAGAAAGTAATTCCACCTATCAAGCCAATTGCACTCACTGGACCTCCAACCCCAAAACACAGTAGGTGCTCAATAAATGTGAGCTTACTTATTGTCCCTGCAACTAACCCTGTAGAAAAGAACGGAGCAAAGGATAAGCCCAAGGGGAAAAAAAGCAAGCAGTTACCATATACAGCAAGTTCAAACAATGGGCGGTAGAGGGGGGTGTGGGGAAATCTTTCCTCCAATGTGACCATTTCAGAAAACAGGTTTATTCTGCTCTTTTCTGAAAAATGTCTACCCTTCAAAATAACTGCTGCTTCTTCCCTCACCAAAAAGGAGATGGTTGTGACCAGCAATTCCATGGTATTGGCACAAAGGGCTTCATAAACATTAGTTAAGAATTAATATTAACAATGTGCTTTCATCTCCCAATTTCAACAGATCTAAAGAGAAGGCAAACCTTTTGCAGAAGCCCACAAAGGGGAGCAGGTCCAAGTAAATATAAAAATGAAAAATCTTATTCCAAATTTATATGCTATCCTGCATAACAATAATATATTAATTATTATTTTAGTATATATAACATATTATATTTATTTTATATATTATTATATTATAATAATTATATATTAATATATTATGATAACATAGGATTATTTATAATCCTATAAATTCCAAATTTATATCCACCAGTTAAATATAAGAGGCGCTTTCTGTTTCACTAAGTCTGACATCTGTCTGCAGACAATTTGGCTTTTTCATAAGTGATGGGAAACTATTCAGATTAAAATATGCAACTCCATAGCTCCAATCCTTCCTTACCTTTCTGCTTTGGCCTTTGTCCCATCTACTAGATATCTAGTGTCTGGGTACTGGAAAAGTAACTCTTCCTGAAGGTCTACCAATGACCTCAACAATGCTTTCAGGGCCTTGTGACCTGAGAAATAAAGCACAGAGAAGGAATAATTTATTATCTACAATTCTCCAAAGTAGGCAATACCTATAACTCATGACTCCTGAGCAGTCCTGACCAGGGTAGGGGGCAGGCACAGGGTACTCATAGACGAAGAATTCTCTGAAATACCGAATTCCTGAGAGGAGATAATAACAATGCCTAACTTACAGGCTTGTTGTGAGGAACAAGCAAGGTAACATACATAAGTTGTGTGGGGAAAGGTCTGCAATAAATTGTGAGTTCTTAAATTTAGTCAGATTGACAAACTCCTTCCCTGTCTGTCATCATAACCAATCGTTTTCCCCTATGGTGTTAGTTTCTACAGGTAACCCACCGACCTCATGGATTATCCCTCTATCAATCAACTCCTTAAGCAATTCCTCCTCTTTTAAACAGCACAACTTTGTCCTGGGATCGCTATTGCCGCCACCACCACTGCCGCTGCCACCACCACCTTCCCTCAGGAGATCTCATTTGTCTATGGTCTGAGCTGCCGTTATCATTCATTCAATCTCTCCACACATATTCTTGTGAAAAGTTCTTGTTCATGTATGAAAACCCAAGCTAATGACTTAGTGTTTGCAGTACTGAATTGTGTATTAAAAATCTGTACATGGAAAACATGTTCTTACCTGGTTCTTCTCGTAGCCAACAAGATGCATTTGTAATAAAGCTGGTCAGAATTAAGTATACAGTCTACAGCTAAGAAGTTTCAGAATAAAAACTGGCCCTCTGAGAACTGAAGTCTTACCTTTTTTATCAGCCTAATCCTACTAAAGGGGCTAACTAGACACTGATAATCACTATTTATGCATTGATAGCACTCAGACGTCTCTCCTATTATCGAGCTTCCACACTTCCAGCAACTGTAAGAAAATCTTCGCATGGATGCTCCATTAGTCCTCCAAATACACCACGTCAGAAACAGAACTTTTCTCTTCCTACCTAATACTTCTCCCTTGTCTGATTATCTCTTCTGTTTAATGTGTTTTCATAGGGATCGCTGACATTTTGGTGCCCTTATTCTATAGATTTAATTCATTGCAAAACAGTGTGATTTTCCATTCTTATCATTACTAATAGCTGTCCATTCATCTCTGGCCATGCTTCTACCACTCCTTCCCTCTTCCCCTTAAATAACTGTAACCTTCTCATAAGAATCCCTACTTTCATTTAGCAACCCCTACATTCATTTTTATTTTGTATTCCATAGGGACTTTAGCCCACACAAACTTCAGTTAGTGTTAATCACAGTTTTTAACATCTTTTCTAGAAAAGGCTACATCTTGAGACAGAGCCCATATTTTCCAAAGTGAAACCACAAACCAATTTCACATTTGCAAAGTAGTTTTTAAAACTCCCAAAAACCCAACCTCAAAATCTTATGCTAAGTAAAATAAGCCAGTTGCAAAAGCACAAGTACTGTGTGATGCCACTTACATGAGGGACCTAGAATAATCAAATTTACAGGAGCAGAAAACTGAATGCTGGATGCCAGGGATGCAGGGGAGAGGGGAATAGATAGAGTTTCCAATTGAGATGAGAAAGTTCTGGAGATGGATGGTGGTGATCTAGGACAACCATTTGAATGGACTTAATGATACTGAACCATACATTTATAAATGGTTAAACTGGTAAATTTTATGTCATATATATTTTACCATAACTGAGAAAGAAAACACTTTCAAGTGATCCCAAGACTAGAGCATAATAAATAATTCTATCATCCCAGTTCATCTCTATAGAAAAAAATCATCTATAATCTTTCAATCTTGAGCCTAGATAAAAAAAAAAAAAAGAACAGGAAAAACAATGAAATATTATTCAGTCCTTAAAAAGAAGGAAATTCTGACACTTGCTACAACACATGGATGAACCCTGAGAACATTATGCTGAGTGAAATAAGCCAGACAAGTACTATATCATTCCACTTATATCATGTACCTAGAGTAGTCAAACCCATAGAGACAGAAAGTAGAATGGGAGTTACCAGGGGTTGGGGGAGAGGGGAATGGAAACTTTAATGGGTATAGAGTTTTAGTTTTGTGAGATGACAAAGTTCTGGAGATTGGTGACACAACAATGTGAATGTACTTAACACTACTGAACTGTACACTTAGGAACAGTAAGGATAAATTGCTGATCACTATACTGTACACCTGAAACTAACACTGTATGTTAACTATATTGGAATTAAAATTAAAAATAAATTTTATCAGGGTAAATTTTATGTTAGGTAAATTTTAGGTTACATGTTTTTTACCACAATAAAAAATTTAAAAGAACAAGAAAAGCCAAGTGTCTGTCTCCGACTTCCTCGAGGTACCATGTGTCCATGATCTAAAATATGAAATCAAGAACCATGCAGGGGAAGAAGCTGCAAAGCAACCTGTAATGTTTATAGCTACGTGCCCCCAAAAGCAAGTCATAATTTGACTCTAACATGTAGCATAACCAAGAAGTGTGAAAACATCCAACGAAAAGACTACTACTTTTAAGGGCCACTTTCAAGTAGCTATACAAGCCTTTTTATTTTGTTCAAGTCAGTTTTAAAAAATCCATTGCAGATATATTAGACAGCCTATCAATCCAACAAGAAAGCAGAGAGCCAATATCAGTAAATCAAAGTGTGCCTTTCTGTTAATACTCTCTCATATGTTCTCATTTTATACACCCCTTCATCCAGTCAGAAAGTAGCCCTGAAGTATTTAAGCTCCATTCAGGGATAGCACCACCATGCATCAAAGTGTCAAGAGGCCTACAAGAGATGAAATCTGCAATTCTGTGCTTCTAACCACACACACACACACACACACACACACACACACGAAGAAGAAGAAATTAAAAAAAAAATGTTTATCAAAGTAAAGTCACCAGTGGCCAACACATGGACAGCTTCCTGTAAAGGGATATGGAAGCAAAGAAAAGAACCCAATTCTCATTTCTTTGCAACATAAGGGTTACATTTCCTTCTGGTAAGATTTGTGTAAAATGAACAATCCTTTCTGGGATGTGCAGGCCTCCTCAAAGCCACAGTTGACAAGAGTGAGTGAGGAAAGACTTTCCTGGAGATTCAAATCCAATGGTGATTCTTCTCAGCCTAAAAAACAAACTAAGCCAAGCCCTGACCTCTTTTTGTCATTCAAATAGGACTAAATTCTATTTGTTCAACCTCATGAAAAATAAAGAGAATGGAACCAATGGTTTCCAATTTACCTTTAATTTTTCTCCTGATTACTGTCAGAGTTAGCAGTTAAAAAAGCAGCAGAGGGGCATGTACTTTCTTCTCTCTTCCTTTTGGCATACGGCCACAAAACAAATGGAGACTGTCAAGGATATATATGTTTATTTTGTCTTACATGGTCCACTTCCAGAGGCCTTTCCCTTAAGAGGAGATTAAGAAGGACATATGCCTCACCATATTATCAAGATACAACCTCAGCATCTGGGCACCAGGCTTTAGGAATGATTTTCCAAGTAGAGAATCAATGGAAAGAGTACTTTACTAAGGGTCAGGAGCCCTGTATGCTAACTGACACGATTACTAACTAGTCATTTTATACTGGAACGATTTAATCTGTAAGTCTCAATTTTCTCATCTGTAAAATGTAGATAATCCTTTGCCTGTTTATCTCACAGAATTTAGGTGAAAAATAAGAAACATGTTTTTTACATATTAAGACATTTTATACATTTTTAAATGCTGTGAATATAAAAAGTGTATGACTATTTAAAAAATCATCTTTCACATGGTAAAAATCCTAAGTTCCACTTATGCTGATCAACAGTGCTAGGACTGAACTGGTATTCACAGATTCCTGCCTTAAGTATTCATTTACATGCTACCCATATGCAAGCATTCTATATATAAAATGTCACCAATCTAAAAACCATTTTCACCTAACAGCCTTATTTTTTTCCCTGATTCATCTTGGCTGTTCAACATAAACAAAACTGTAGGCAGAGAATAAGTTTGGACACAGGCACACAGCTCATTAATTAAATTATAAACCAATAAGTACAACTTCTGGCAAGGAGATTGGAGGGGGAATGGAGACAGTGAATTTATAACTAAAGTAAAGCTTACTTTATCAGTTTTTAAATATCTAGACAGTTATTTTTAAGATAAACATGAAAACATACAATTATTTATGTACAAGTATACAAAACTCCCACATTCCTATTACCCCAGATAAATACTATGAACTAGAATGTACAGATTACGAGAGCACTTTTTTCTCCTTCAAAAGTAACTCTAGAACCAGAGCTAAACTATAGGTCAAAATGACACACGATATATTGGCCTGAGAACAATACTTTTCATTCAAATCCACACAAGCCTGCCACTTGCACTAGTCATCCCCGGCAATTAATCCCCCAAGAAAGACGTTTGATTAAATCTTTTCAAGCAAATCCTTTGCTTTGCTTTTGTTAGTTCACTTCTTGTCAACATCTATTAAAATATGCCTTTAATTCTCCCACAATCTTAAAAAACACCGATTCCACTGTCTTCAACTTTAATCAACTGTATGGCCGGCATTTTTCATTTCATAATAATGTGCTGCTTGGAATTCAAGAGGCAGGCTCGGCATCAATCATCTGGTAAGAATTTTTCCACTGCAATAAATATGCAAATGAGGAGAGCCAGTCAGTCGTATTTCAGGCCCGACTTGCTAGTGTTTTAAAAAAGACACAAATTTATTAATTGCCGGTGGCCAGAGGAATCCTATTACTTTGGGCATTGATTACAAAGCTGTGTGAGTGATTATTGTGCAACTCGCGGGCTACCCAGGCATGAGGAAAAATTATTAAAGCAAGGCAGAGATTATCAACTCAGAATAACAATAAGCCTTAACATTTAGGCCCTAACTTCTTCAACAAAGAATTACGTGAAGCCTCCACTGTATCATAATTCCGAACTCTGTCAGTATTACTGTTTGGGCTTGTTCTATATTCCCCAAGCAGAATGGCGTCACCAGGAA